GTATATATATATATATATATATATATATATATATGTATATATATATATCCCAAAACATAAATACCTTTAGTACCATCCATCCATTCTTACTTATTCATTAAAATACAGGAACCCCTGTAAAGTAGGCCTCACTGTGGGATTTTGCTTTTTGACAGGAATAGCAAACATGCATATTTTGATGTTTTGTATTTAAGTGTTTTTATTAACATTTACTTGTAACCAAAATTATATTTCAAAAACAGGTGCATCTTGTTAATACTCATTATACAAGTAAACTAAATTTACAAGTTTTTGTACTAATGATTAACTTGAAACATTACATTTGTAACCTAAAACTTAAGACATTCAATAATGATTTGAATGAGGATTTTTTATCGTATATAGGAAAAAAGTTAATAATGGTTGGAGACAGCTTGAATGGGTAATGAAGAAAAATGGAATTATTTTTACAATAGTTCTGGAAGCACACACCACTAAATATGTTTTTGAATTAGACTCTCATGACAAATATCCTGAAACAGAATCAGATCTAACCTGTACAAAGATCAAACTTTTATCACAGGATAAAAGACATGATTAAATAAATACGGACATTTATTAAAGAGTTATCTTAAAGCCTAGTTTTCTATAAAGTCTAATGTCCTGAAATATATATATATATATATATTATCAATATCCTCTATAATTTTGCCTGGATAAGCTTGATTCTGACCTAAATCAAAATACTATACAATAACATAACATAGTGTTTTGGGATAACTATACAAGCATAAGGTTGTAGGACTATTACAAAATTTTCTTTGTTGAAAAGTATTATTAGATTCAAGTGAGGATGATAACAAAACTTGCATAATATAAACAATAATACAAAAGTTTATGTTGTAACCACTAGTGTATAATTATTTTGTTTTGTATTCTTTTATTTGGTTATTTTCTTACATGCTGCCTGATACTATAATTAGGAAGAGTCATATAACTTTTGTTTTCACATTTAAAATTCAAAATTCCATAGTATCATTCTCTCAGTTTATATTAGCCATAAAATTAGGAAGTGCCTTTAATTTACATGGCTTTATTTGATAAATCAAAATCTCATAAACTGATATATTCGCAAAGATTACAGTGACTAAGGATATTGAATAATACTTTTGCAAGAGTTAAATTTTGATCTCTGGATTTAAACTAATGATAAAATAATTACTATAATGGGACCTGATTCCTTTCCAACTTAAGTTGTTTTTGGTCTACAGATTAGCAGTATTAGTCCATTTGTTTTTTTGTTGTTTTTTTTAAGTAAAAAAATAAATAAATTTGTTACTTACCTTGTTTTGCAGGTAAAGATTCTGAGCTTCCCAGCTGTAGACAGGAGGATCCAGCTGCCAAAGATCGCATCACCCAGATTTTAAATGAAGCTCATCAGGCCATGATAGTCCCCCCTAAAGACAGAAAGGATACTCTGACTTACAATGGAAACCTGAAACATTCTCCCGAGTGGAAGACTCCAAATGGAGTTTTTGAAAGGCAGGAGGAGGATGGCCAAGAAGAGGGTGGTAGAGATTTTGACAGAGAAGGAAGCATACAATGGCCCTTCAAAAATAGCATTTTGTACAAAGATTACTCACCAAATAATAGCTCCAGGCAACTTCAAAGAAAAGACAATGATGATATTTCAAAGGAAATGATTACACGAATTTACCAGGAAGAATTGGCTAAGCTGATGGGTCAAAGATTAGAAGAGGGTTTCTGCATTTCCAAAGACCAGTTTGAACATACTCATGAAGAAATCCGTCAAACCCTGAGCATTTACTATCAGGAACTGTCTCGTCTGTCACAGTTGCTACCCCAGTCCATGGCAGAACTTGCTCATATTGGTGTGTCAGCAAACTTAGTTAATGGCTCAGTGCCATGTTCCACATTTCCAAGTTTTTTGCACCCTATAAGTTTGGCCAATTCTAGTTCCCATTGTAATGCATCTGTTGATACAACAGCTCAACCTCCAAATTGGACAACCAAGATAAAAAGTAGCTCATCAGTAGAGTCAGAAGAATCTCATCATCATGGAAGTGCTTTTTCTCTTGTAAGACCCAAAACTGAACCTAGTAGTGGCACATCCAAAATACCCGTGTCTTATCATTCTGGATCAAACTCTTCACCTACTCCTTGTGGCCCACTAGTAACCATGGCTGAAGCTTCAGGTTCTGCAGAGGATCCCATTTCCTCTGCTTCTCCTCTCCAAAGAATGCAGTCAATTACAAACTCCCTTCTGACCCAGTCAACCCTTACACCTTCTAATCATTCACAGCGCCCAACCAAAGCCACATTGTCACCCATCACACAGCAGCAGTTTGATCAATACAATAACCTCAATACAGAAGACATTGTCAAACAAGTAAGCTCAGATAAACTTGAGAAATTATTTTCCACTATTTATCACACTAATAAAATACAGATTTTTGATGTTTCAAAATGTTTATCTGTTACTACTTGTTAATTTATCTGTTTTGCAAGCACATTTAAAAATTTACCACTTTACTAAGATCTACTCTATATAAGCTTTATTAAAGAACATTCTTTTAGTAATTTGCATAATATATTCCTTATCACTCCTTTTAGAGATTGTTTTGCATTATTCTAAAAACTGTAAGATATGCCAAATATCTAACATCCATTAGCAGTGCTTAATTTCTGTTCTATCTTTCCAGATCTCAGATCTAGAACCTGTTTCAGATTCTTTTGTTAAATCTAAAAGTGAAACACTATAATCAACTGTAACACTGCCACAGTTTCATTGCAAATTAATATTTGGCTGACATTGTCAACTAAATTTCTCAGCTCCAGTCCCATCTCAAAATATAGCCTCAATAATGCTTAAATTGTTATCTTATAAAATTAAAAATTCCCCACCCCATCAACAGAGATTTTGTACCTATTTTCTAGAAATTAAGCACTGCCCATCTGCTATGACTGTTTTAAACAATTATCATTATATTTATAACATTTTGTTACTAAACCTTTTCAGTGAATGTGTTGTGCATTGAAGTTTCATATAAAATATACTGTAGTTGAATGTATGACCAGAATGTAAAGGGTTTGGTGATTTGTATCTGGTTTCTTACATTAATATTTAAGAAAAATAAGGCAGCCAAAAAAAAAAACTTGCTAAAAAACGAAATGCTGCAATCAAGAAAAGCAGTGTGGTGAATAATACTGAACATTATGTTTTGAGGTTTATCATCATTATCTACTTGATCCTAAAAGGTCGATCATACAGAAATTGCCATGTTTTGGTGGCGATCATGAACAACAGAAAATCTGCTAAACCAGGAACTGAGAGAGTTCCATGAACATTGTGGTCCAGAATATATGTATCTTTCCCTTTGAATTCTGACTGCGTTCCTCGCAAAGAAGGTACACAAAAATGTACATCTCACGGTCTTTAATCAAACAAACACAAATCAAAGTTAGTTTAAACAGTTAAACAAAAACCATGAGTAACTGAAGAAGGAGAGACCTTTATTAAATCTCTCTCAACTATTAGGGTTCACAGTTAAGCTGTGAACCAAGAAATGTGAGTAAAGGTAAAATAAAAAAGGGGTAAAAGAAAACGTTAATATTCAAAGTAAAAAAAAAACTACATTAAATTAAGCACTGTAAAAAAACTACCTTGAAGCTTTGACACTCTGTTTAGCACAAATGAACCAACAGATTAAAAAAATCACTGGTCTACTACACTTCAAACCAACGAAACTTCTGCAACAAAAGAAAAAATCACAGCCTTATACTCGAACACACACTCACTCTATAGACACACACACACGTCCCCCCACGTGATTAAGGGCCACTCTCAAATCGTCAAAGGGTTGTTAAGTACCAAGTCATCACCCTATTTACTACGAAAAATTACCACTTTTGCTATCCATAATGTATCGCATACTACACTAGTCCTTTCTAGTATGGAACACCGCGACGTCTTTAGTGACTCACCTAGTCCTGTACATGACTAAAGGCGAGAGAAAGTTAGATGCTCTCTCTTGACTAATGCTCTAAACTAAAACCAACTCAAAGTACACTGAAATTTTTAACGTTTATTTAGTAATTAAGAGGACAGAAAACATTGGTAAGCTCTGCATATCACAATACTTTTGCTCAGGACAAGTCCATTTTGGCCTTGATTTATACTGTAAGGATGATTTTCAACATGTTTAAGACATGTAGGGCACATTGCGCACTTAATATAAATCAAATAAAAATAAATGCTATTCAACTATTTTTATGTCTTTCATTAGTTGAGGCCTGATCAATCGTACTTAAATCGATCTGAGAAAGTGTAATATATTACAATGAGAAGAACAAAGTATCTTATTTTTTACTATTGCTTCTACTTTGCAGTTTTCACGCTCTCTTTTGATTAGATCCTAACATTTTCAGATAACCTTTCTTTCTGATCACTTTAACAAAAACAGTATCGTGACTGCATCCACGACGTTTCCATGAACCTTCCAACCTTGCACTTTTAACTGCAATTAAGAAAAATATGATTTTCGGACATTCTCTCAGTTAATATTGACTAGTTGATCGCTGAAAATAGGTCTTCTATAAGTAAATTACTGATTACTTTGCAAAAGACAATGGACTTTCACCAAAATCTTGGCACACAAACGGAAAGAACTTATTTCCAAATGAGGACTTCTCTACAAACGGTCAATTAATGAGCTCAAAAGTTGCATCGTTCGAAAGCTCTAATACTAAGTTATCGTTAAATGGCAAATTTAGTGCTTTTTTATTCTATTGTTTTCCAGATGTTGTGACGCCAAAACCAGCCACTAATTTCTGTAAGGTCGGTTCCCAATGTTAGGGTTAATTTAGAGAGTACTTATATTTGTATATTTATTTTGGAAAACAATTTGTCCACAGGTGAAAGAACAACTCAGTCAATTCTCTATCAGCCAGCGCTTATTTGGAGAGAGTGTGCTGGGGCTTTCCCAAGGTTCTGTTTCTGACTTACTAGCAAGACCCAAACCTTGGCACATGCTTACCCAAAAGGGTAGAGAGCCTTTCATCCGCATGAAGATATTCTTAGACGACGAAAGTGCTGTCCACAAACTTGTTGCTTCCCAATATAAAATCCCACCAGAGAAGCTAATGCGTACAGGTGCTTACCTTGGAAGTAGGAATGCTTCAGGTATAAGGCCTTTGAATATTTTACTAAAATCTTTTACCTCTTCGCCAGTATTTATTTCTATAGTTTATACTTTTGTAAGTACGTATTATCGTAACTTTTTATGTGCGTATTTGTGTATGTTTGTAACACTGTGTTGGTATTTTTTCTATTGTTGATATTAGACACTGAAATTTATCAAACTTTATGACATACTACACGTGATCTAGGCAGAGCATTGTGAACAAGTTCCTTGTAATAGCTCTGTTACTTGAACTTCTAAATATCTAGTAGCACCTGTTTATTTTTTTGTAAAGAATAATAACTTACTGTGCGTCTGTATACAGAAACAGACTGCGTGTAAATCTAGGGTACTATCATGACAATTTCGTTTTATATAATTTGTTTTTCATATTTATTTTTCACATAATTTATTTATTTGTATTATTAAATGATTATCACGAGTCCTGATTTTGTTCTTTTTTCTTTGTTTTTTTATAGGGCCCAGTAAAATATCACCTCAACCTTCAGATCCAAGTGTTTCTCAGCATTTACCACAGCAACAAAACCACCTCCCAGTTCATTCAAACTATGTTTCTTCCAAACCTGTACAGCCATGTAGAACTTCTCCAGAAAACTCTCACACCACTGTTAACACCAGCGTAACACATTGTGCTACCACAACGCACAGCATTAGCCCAAGAAAGCTATCACACGTCTCCCGTCCCTTGCCTTTCATGCATCCCTCTGTGTATGAAATGGCAGCTCGGACGACAGATCTCGATACACAATACATAACGTCCAAAGTAAAGGAGACTCTTTTGGCTCACAACGTGGGCCAGAAGGTACGTGATCTAAAAGAAAGTTTCTAAACTGTGTATGTTGTTGAGTAACTTACTTAATTTGTCAATCTATTACTCTTTCTTGATAATACAGTATCAATTCTTAAAATTCATAATATAATTTTGGTTTCATTAATACTTTAGCAATTAGTAACTTATACACAAATTAGATAATTTATCCGTTTATTACAGTTTGTTTTTATACAGTCATAAAATATGTTAGATTCTGTATTTTGTTATATTAGAAATTTGCACAATTTTCTAAAAGTTTTGTTATAAATTGAAACTAATTGTTGTTCAAGTAACTTAGAAATATAAAACATAACTATATTTATTTCAGATCTTTGGTGAAGCTGTGGTAGGCCTCTCTCAGGGCTCTGTCAGTGAGCTGTTGTCCAAGCCTAAGCCTTGGCACATGCTCAGTATTAAAGGTCGTGAACCTTTCATCCGCATGCAGTTATGGCTGAATGATCCCCATGGTGCTGATAAACTTCAAGCTATTAAGAATGATAGGAGAGAAGGTAACAGAATTAATTACTCAACTTTGAAATAGAACTTATATTATTCGCTGTTTGTCCTACAAACTTATAAAATTTATCCACACAGCTAACAAAGTCAGAAAGGTCACTTCATTCTTTGTCTTTAATGGTAACTTGAACTGACACTTATCAGCTAATGTTAGAGTGAGTGAACAAGCCGAGTTCAGAATGAATAGCAAAAGTTCATTGGTCAAACCCCGAGTCTTCCAGTGAATATATTGTTTGTTTGTTTTGAATTTCGTGCAAGGCTACACAAGGGCTATCTGCGCTAGCCGTCCCTAATTTAGCAGTGTAAGACTAGAGGGAAGGCAGCTAGTCATCACCACCCACAGCCAATTCTTGGGCTACTCTTTTACCAACGAATAGTGGGATTGACCTTCACATTATAACGCCCCCACGGCTGAAAGGGTGAGCATGTTTGGTACAACGAGGATTCGAACCCGCGACCCGCAGTGAATATATTGTCGACAGTTTTTAGAATGCGGTTATCACAAATACACAATCATGGGCGTCCGCACTTTCCCCCACCTGGAAAATGAGGAACACAATTTTTTCTTTATTCATTCAGCATATATATTTATATGAATTTTTTATTCGAATCACAATTTCACACTACTTTGCCCCCCCCCCTCCCCGGAAATATTATTTTGTGTAATAATTTCTTTCCTATTGAAATTTGATCAGTGTGTAAATGGATTGCTTTGTTCTTTTTCCAGCATCTTTCAAGTAGATTTGAATGTGAAGATGTTGATTTAGACGTGTAATTGGACTGAAATCCTAGTATTGTAGATAATGTGCTTTATTACAGCAATTTAGTTTCATTTAAAATTAATTTTCCTTAGCGAATTGCTTTACAAGTTAAATATTTGAATTGAAAATGACTTTAAGTATAAATGTTTTGTATAATTAAGTTTGTAATTTTAATTTTTGAACTTGGTGTGACTTGTTTAACTCTTAAGTACTTAATTTCACTACTTGTTTTAGTGTACACCAATATGATGTCTGGTTTTTATTAAATAATTATCAGGATGATAATCAGGACCGGATTAAGGTTTAGTGGGGCCCTGAACCCATGTAATATTTTAGGAATAATGATAATGATGATAATAGTAATAAAAATAATAATGATAATAAAAATAACCCACTCTTGTCTCTATTCTGCTAGTTTTACGAACCATAATTTTTTTACTTGGGTGACCGGTGGGGCCCCTGTATGGCCGGAACCCTAGGCCTGGGCCTAGGTGGCCTTTGCGTTAATCCGGTACTGATCATAATGTAAAATTTGCGTTCATAGAATTTTCGTTAACTCAAGAACAAGTTACATTTCATCTAAAGTTCATATGTTGTATGTTACAGCCAACAAACGTAAAAGAAGCAATAACGATGCCCACGAAGTTAGCAGTTCGTATAAAGAAAACCAAATATTCCACTACGAACTTCCCCCACCCTCTCCTTATTCAACGACAAAGAAGCCACGGATTCTCTTCTCCGATGAACAAAAAGAAGCACTTCGTTTGGCCTATTCCATGGATCCGTACCCAAGTACCGCCACCATAGAGTTCCTGGCAAGTGAGCTAAATTTGTCAGTTCGTACAATTACAAACTGGTTCCACAATTACCGCATGCGTCTAAAGCAACAAAGTTCTCCAGTTGGCCAGCAGAGTGAACACAAACCAAACGACAACAGCATTATCATGCATCCACTGAGAGAAACAAGCACCGTCTTTGATCCTATCCAGTTTCGTTTTCTTCTTAATGGACGACTAGCCGAGATAGGCAAAGAAAGGAACAAAGTTCCAAAAATGTATAGTACGTACAGGAGCAATTCTCCCCTTAATACCCAGAACGATAACTGTGGGACTTTAGATCTGAGCATGTCTAGTCAGCACTTTCCACGAGGTGGCAGTAGTAGCTGTAGTAGTTTTCAGTCTGGTCCTTTTGAAACTGTATGTAGAAGCCCCGGTGTTCATTCAACCAGTGATATGAATGAGGATTCCAATTTCTCTCATGACCAGGTTGTTTCTGAAAACAGTGACAAAGAATCAGGGGAAGAGAAACAGTCATCATATTCCTATGGTCAACAAAATGGTGTAAGACAAAAACTGGGAACTAGCAGCAGTAATAGGAGGAAACCTGCCATGCCCCAGTGGGTTGATCCAGAATTGGAATACTCTGCTGAGAGTGATGTCAAAAGCGATGATGAAGAGGACACTCAGCAAAGTAACGATAACACAAATAAAGGGGAAATCATCAATGGTGTGTGCGTTCGACAAGCAGGAGACTTCAACCTTCACTTACAGAAACCGGAAGAAATGACAGAGGAAATGGAACCTGTTATGGCTGCATATGGCAGCAGTCGTGTAGCCCAGAACCATGTTGTGGAAGAAACTCATTCCCAATTGTGTTCCCAAGTGGAAGAAGAAGATGGATATAATCTGAAAGAAAACAATATTGTAGATCAAGAAATCAACTGTGATAGCCAAGAAAGCATCAATAGCCCGGATCAAGGAGACTGGGATGAAGAAAAAGAAGATAGAGATTAGAAGAGTTTGATAAAGTTTAAAATATTAGGAAATAAGAATGAGAAAAACTATGAGTTGCCGATTGGATGAAAGTTTGATGTCAAATAATATTCTACTATAAGTGGAATCCTGGATTTATATCCCCCTGATAAACATAAAGGTGTCTGTTTCAGTGTGGTATTTGCATGCATGTGTTCAACACAAGCCACAAATGTATTTCAGTCTTTGTGTGTATTTTGTACCTTATCAGAAAATTCCTGAAATTATGGTATAATTCTACGATATTCTATGATATTAGAAAACCAGATGTCACTGCTGGATACTCAGCGGTCTTAACGGCTGTTTTTCAAGTGAAACTTCATTGTGATATCGTCCTCTCCAGCCTTTAGTCTAGACACTTGATTCCAATGCCAAAATACAAGGGGGTTAAAATATGAAAGCTGTACTCCCTCTAGAAAGTTGTCAACTTTCAAACACAGCCACCAAGTGGGAACCCACATTTGTACAAGTTACTGTTTTCTTGGTTGTTTGGCAAGAAGAGTTGTTGACGTCTTTATGTGTTCTCTTAAGTAATAACTTGTACATTATATCTCAATCTTACATTAAAACCACGTGTAAATAGCTTAAGATTGTGGTTTCAACTAGATTAGCACGAGCTTGTGTCCGATTGTTTTGTTTTTTATTGGTCTTCAGTTCTTTGAGAGAATGACCATTTTAGTATTTTAAAATATATCCTTTGTGTCTTTGTGTGTGTTGAGTTTATCTTATTAGAGTTTGTAGAATTTTTCTTATTATGAACTTGGTGGTTTTGAAGCTAATATGCGTGTTATTTAAAATGTTATATGCATACACTTATAATACAAATTTTACAATAAGAGGCATAATGCATGTAAGCTGTACAGTTCCACTCCAGTCGCCGTATCAAGGCGTTTGTGGGTAATCAGTGAAATCACACAGATCCTAGGCATAAAGTCAAGTGTTTTGGTTTGAGGTTTTTGGAACACAGCTTAACATTGGCTCGCATGGAATGATGGGAACTTGGAGTTTAATTTAACAATTTCCATTCTAGTTGTTAACTCTATAGGATGGCATTAACGTTTTTAAATCAGCTTAGCGTTCTATTATGTAAACACCGGTGTTGTACACAATATTTCCAAACTGACTTTTCACTGATCTTTCGATAGGGTTAGCTAATGTAACTCCGACACGACTTAGCTTTCCAAAGTTACTTGTATTGATACGAAATTCTAGTCTACTGATATGTTCTACAGATGCAGTTTTAGCCACGGAACAGGCCATTACGGTCGATATATAACTGTTAATTTGTTTACCTCTATAGTTACTCTGAGTGTAAACTATATATTAGTGTTTGTTTCTGTTCAATACTGCTTTACATTCTGACTAACTTATGCTGAATCGTGGATTCACTTATTCTGCATTTTGCATATATCATAAAGACTGCCTTTGAAGATGGTAAGTTTTCAGTGTACGTTATTCCAAAGTTCTCCTCCTGTATCACCCTGTTTCGTCTAAATAAGCGTTTAATCAGTCTGAAATAATGTTCATAAGTTATCCAATAACAGATCTAAAACTAATATTTTAACATTTTTTAATACATTTAGACTTTTGGACAGATGTTGGCCAAAAAATAGTTTTAGTTGCTCTAAGTAGGACGAAAGGAAAATAGAAATCGTTTGACTTTTATTAAAGTTATTAAGCGTGAACTATGTTTTAGATTTCAGATAGACGATTAGAATGAAAAGAAAAGTTGTGATAAAAATAATAATGGGGCATTTGTTACACTCTTCAAGTTATCATATTTACATATATTTAGTTATTCTTTTTCGGCAACATGTTCTGTAAGCCTTATTTAACATGTGTAACTTCCTATTGCCAATATATATCAAACAGACAAAAATGGTAAACATGATTTATATATATGTATCCTTTCTTGATTGTTTAAGTGACATATATGTGACTTGTGGTAAAAGAACCAACTGAATAATTTTTATCGCACACTGGACTAAAATGTGACCTGGTGCAAAAGCTGTGAGTATTAAATGTAACCATGTTGGTCATCAAAGGACTAAACTTTACGTATAAATACTTTTAAAAAGCGATCATTCAGTTATTGTTTTTTGAACTTCATCATGTTTATGCCCGACAATGTACGTATTCCACTTGCATTCACCTATATTGGAATTGGATTGAAAGTGAGGTGGGTGTAGCATTACATTTGAAGTTAACTTGCACTTTGGCATTTAGTAACAACAAATATGTAGCATCCATGTCAGGTGGTTAGACAGGCAATATCTTGAGAAATAGACACTTCCTCTTCAGGACCACCAAGAGCTAATAGAAGATAATACGGCTTTTAATTAAAGTCTTCTGAAGTTAAATCAATAACTGGAGATATTATGAGTGACATGTACCAGTTTCCACATTTTTATTCCTAACAGTGGTTAGTTGAAAGGTTTCTGGTGTCTGCGGTACCATTTTTAAAAGCCTGTTTTGTTTTCATATTAAACAAAAATAATATGAACTGAATAGATGCATAAGGTTATTTTACTTATTTTAGTGTGATTTTTACATGGACTTTGACTATATCCTTTAACTTAATTTTTTATACTGTGATTAACCACCAGCAACAATGAGTTCGTCTATCACATACGAGTGTTTGAGTCATGTTATTAGCAAGGATAAAAGAGCAGAAAATTACTTACTTTTGTACAAACAGTGTTATAATTTTGAAATTACCTGATCTTAATTCGTAAGCTATTGAAATTAATTTTCTTTTTCAAGTATTCGACTTGAGCTTTTTAAAAATCTCGTGAAAGTATTACTACTGATTCAAAAGCTATCGTTTTTGAAAATCGAGGTTTCGCTTTTTTATAGTAAAACAATTCAGATCTAAGATATCAATGCATAAAACATTTGTTTAATCAACACAGTAGCGCTGATATTAGAAATTAGACTCCCCCCCCCCCTCCGTGATAGAACATCTAATTATGAAACTGGATATATAATAAGCCTATCTTGTTTACTAATGAATTGATTATATTAGTCGCTAGCGGTAAGCCTTACTTTTTTCAGTTGCGCCAAAATTATCCCAAAGCTTTTAGGTATTTAACTTATTGTGGAAATAAGCAGTATTTTTCCTTTTAAACCCCCCCCCCCCCCCACTCCTCATTGTATGATGTCCACCGACGTTTATTCTTCGTTAATTCAACTTTCAACCGGTTTATTTATTATTAAGCCCAAAGTCATACAATGGGCTATCTGTGTTCTGTTCACAGCGGGTATCGAAACCCGATTTTTAGCGTTATAAACCCTCAGACTTGCCGCTGAGTCATGGGGGGAGTCTTTCAAGGAGAAGGCCGTGGTCAACTATAACACAAATTTTTACAATATTTATAGTTCAAAGTTACCTCGAAACAAGCTATTTTGTATTAGTCGAAACGAAGCTCGAAATAAACAAAAATCATTTGAATGTTTTCGTCTGAAAAGACACCTTAAAGAAAAACGGAATCCTCAGCACCAGTTCATCCATAGGTTATTATTAGCACTGCTCTTGATCACCAGACTCGCATGAACATACGCTTTGGAATTTTTGGTCATGCGCAATATGTATTTGTAATGCTTGAGTGTAACATCATTCCTTTGTTAGCATGTGGCTTTGCTGTAATGTTTTGGCTACGAAAGTTACGGGCGTGAATAAGTTATTCGATTCAAATCATTTCGTGACTTTTACTTTTCGCCTCTGCTAAAAAAAGACACGTTAAGTCGAGCCCAAAAATTAGCTACTCACTGGTATTCAGCGAAACTGAAAACACGGCTTATTAGTGACTGGACTAGGCCTTTTCCTTTGCAATACATAAACTTATTTTGAAATGGAAAACATTTTGGTATAGCATAAACAAATATATATCGATTCTTTCAAAAGCTTTTGTAAACGCATACTTATAAATCTATAATTATGCAAGGAAATAAAATCAAATGACAAAGCAATGCAGGGAAAAACTGTTATATTTTAAAAATTGAACTGGGGATAAACATTTCCCTCTACTTTATATGTACGAGTGTAAAAAGCAGTTAATACAATCAATACAATAATCGTTTTGTAGCTTATCAATACAGCGAAATAATAAGTAACGAGCAGAGATTTATCTGGAATCTCAGATCAGTTTTAATTCATGCCTGTAGAGGTATAAAAACTAAGGAGGCTATGTTTTAAGTTTATACGTACTTGTCACCATTAAAACAAAAGTTCAATATTGTCTTAAGAACTACAAAACATTTTGGTTCATGTTTTCACAAACAGAACGTCAGGTTTGTACTTGTAAAAAATTTAGAAAAATAAGGACTGTGAAATTTGGTGATTTGTTCACTGTCACAAGAATGCCAGTAATTGACTTTCGAACAACGCATGATTATTCTTGTCGTATTTTTGAAACAACAGGAAATGACGTAGGATAATTAAAGAGAATCGATTGGTACATTCCTTGCAGAGAAATAGGATTATCTCACGAGCACAACTCCGAATGGAGTCATTACTCGTTAGTTTAGGTGTTATTTACAATAAGACTTGTCATCATTTTGTTGTTTAGCACGCGAATGTTTTATATGATGATAACGGAAACTGATGTGAAGCAGACTGTTTTTCGAACAAAAATTTATTTTTAAGTGTTTGTTGAACTGAATATTTCCCTTCATATTTGATGTTGTAGTTGTTTATGTATCTTTCGTAACATAGAAACAAACTGACTATATAAATGTCTTTATACTTTTATGACCATATACCCTTCTTGCGTTCTAGAGTGAAAAGGCGTTTCCTAACAAACAGACAATGTCATTGCAACTTTTATGTTTTCAATATTTAAATTTAAAAAAACGTAAAATGACGGATGCATTCTATTTCTTGCAAAAGAGTTTAGCATAATATCGAACAATGAAGGGCATTAGAAATACAAAGAGTTCTAATGCTTACAAAATGCAATTAGAATTCAAAGTTCTTGAAACGAGGTAGTTTGAAACAAATGTAATTCAAAAAGTTTCGCAAAGTGCAATATCAATATGTAAGTTTTATTTCTCTGTTGTTAGGCGCTACTGATATTTATTTTGCTGTTCATGGCTTTACTACGTTATCTGTTAGCCTTCTTTAAGACATATTTTTGGAAATAGAGGTATAGAGAGGATGAAAGATAAGTCAAAATGGGTGTGTTGCCTTTCTTAGATAGTGAATCTGTGGTTGTGCTTCTTTGAAACTAGCTAGACAAATTGAAAGTTCATTCTGCTATACGATTTAAACGGTACAACACAGTAATGTATTGTTTAAAAAACAGGTATATTCTAATGTGTCAAATGGACAGAAATGAGACTGTTAATTCCTTCAAACGGGTGTGTCAGATATGCTATGAAATTTACATGTTAAGTCCTCATCCTCCTTCTGGCCACTTGACAATATTGGCTTTCAATCTATTTGTAAATTCTTGTTTTATATTGTAATCTATATAAAGATGTGATACCTTCAATACCATTCAACAACCGCACGCGGTTTTTGAAAATCGTTGCCTTTTCATTATTTGTTTCTGTTAAGTACATTACGTATTACTGTTCGTTCACACTTTTTTGACCTCTTTCTAAAAATATACTGCACTTATCCTCTGTACATGTGTAGACTTAAAAGGGTTAATTGTAGGCTTAAATCTCTTAAGATATCTAGGTATTTAAAATAGGCTGTGCAATGAATTTTAAAGCAAAATTTTGCCTTTTAAGGGCTATTTTTATTCATGTGTTTTCTTCAACTTGTCTCAAAGGCTTGCTTTGAAAATGAATGCTTGTATGTTTGATATTCAAATTCATATTGATATTTTTATTCCACTTCACGACAAATAAAATTGGATTTTCTTCTTCAGTGGGAATTGTATGTTGTTGTTGTTTAATATTTATTTAATTAACTGATCGTCTTTTCGTAATGTTCATGTCACACAATTAACGATGTTTTGTTATATTCACATTATGCCAAAAACGTGATGAAAATGCATCCTAATAATTAGTATTACGTAGTCAAAACTAAATAAAGCGTTTTTGTTTGCTAGTCTACATTATACATAACGACTTTCGTAAGGAGCTCGCTAAATTATGTTATTAAGTTATCGTTGTTTTTTAGCGCAAATCCACACAATAGGCTATATGCGCTCTGCCACCGTGGGGGAATCGAACCACGGATTTTAGCGTTGTAAGTGCTTAAAGCTACAACTTACCCACCGACCGATTATATCACTAAGACGAACATAACACAGAATCTGTATTTACAGCATATAATTCGTACGCCATTTCTATTCTATTGTTTGGTAGGGTATGTTAAAGTTCAGGGGTTCCCAAACGGTGGTTCGCGACCACTGGTGGTTTGGAGCGCCCTTCAGGTGGCCTGTGGAAAGATTTCATGATTAAGGAAAAACAGAGTTTGTAGATCCAGGAGTAAATCCGACTCCTAAAAATTCAGATATATATAAACAGGAAGAATACTTAGAAGTCTAAAACTCTACGATATATATAGCTCTTTAGATATGAAAAAATGTTTTCTTTCCTTGGGATGTTTCTCGCTTTATAAAACAAATTATCTGCCTGGTTTCTCTACAAAAGAATCACACTTGTTGGAGCTTTCTTGCAATAGAGCATTGGAGACAGAGTTGAAACGAAATTCACCTTTAGAGATTTGGATTGAGACAACTGGAGAGTACCCAAATCTTGCATACAAAGTAACTTGTTTTCTGATGCCTGCTATTATGTACTGTGCGAAATTGGATTTGCGTCACTTGTGGCCCTAAGTCCTAGTACAGAAGAAGAGTAATCACTGAGGCTAAAGTTAACTCTGCTAAAAAATAAATAAATGCACTCATCACATTTAAACATAGAAAGTTAAGTCTGTGGTTAATATTAATATTATAGCGATTTCTATATGCATGTTTTATTAGGTTGGGCTATACTGTTATTGTGTGGTTCACAGCTTGCCCCCACCCCACACACAAATCATGTGGCTTGCGAACTTTGGGAATCATGATAAAACAATAAAGACAAACTTCAATTTTCAATCTTGATGTCATTTTCTTCGAAGGCCCCCCCAGTGGCACAGCGGTATGTCTGCGGACTTACAATGCTAGAAATCGGGTTTCGATACTCGTGGTGGGCAGGGCACAGATAGCCCACTGTGTAGCTTTGTGCTTAATTACAAACAAACAATTTTTTTCGAAGAAAAATTGTTTTAGAAAGCCAGTTGCTGTGCTTACTATATATATACGGTGTTTCATACGCGTATAGAACCTGTTTTTGAAATAAGTACAATAATAGAAAATTTGGCCTGAAACTTTACTTTGCAGGGATGTATAGTTGTGTATGTAAAGTTTCACTCTAAGCGGAAAAAAGAAAAATATATGTATCCGTTGCTCTATTAATACATTGCATTGACTAACGTTGACAATATCTGCCCCTCAAAATGATTCTTCTGGAATATCTGACTTGTTTATTTTGTTAAGTATAAAGCTACACAATGGGCTATCTCTGCTGTGCCCACCACGGGTATTGGAAACCGGTATGTAGCGTTGTATGTCTTCAGATTTACCGTTGTGGCACTAGGGAGAGGGGGGGGGCAAAATATCAAGCCCAAACTCAGAATAGTGGTTTGTAAAAGATGTTTGATATATAAAATTAGTTGATATGTTAATTATGATGAAATTTGCTGTTAACTATTTTGAAGACAAAATTACATCATTTATATGAAAGAAGTCATCCTATTCTGCTTGATTTGTTTTCATACATATGCACTCACACACACACACACACAAACTTCTTTTTTTTAATGTTTTAAAAATTACTTGAATAATTTGTCAGATGAAAATGGCTCCCAGTGGCACAGCGATATATCTGCGGACTTACAACGCTAGAAACCGGGTTTCGATACCCGTGGTGGGCAGAGTACAGACAGCCCATTGTGTAGCTTTGTGCTTAACTACAAACAAACAAACAGCTGAAAATGAAAAATCGCAACACACACACTTATGAAAGTTTTCCTCTGTATTAACCATCGCTACCTGTTTACTTTGTATCCAATTCATCATCAAGCTCACAAATGGATTACAACATAAAAAATATATAGAGATATACGTGTTAAAAATTACAATATATCAAGCCTCACGTTATTATTTCTCACACGGAAACGTGTATTTTTTTTAATCCAGCATTTCTTTTAGAAACGAAATCAAACTACCAACTTCTCTCGCAATACCTATGAAATAACTATTGAAATTGAGATAAATTCTTGAAAAAAGCTTCAAGGAAAATTTTACTTTTTTCTTTGCAATAGATTCATTCGCAAGGTGTCGTTATTTTGACAAGAAGATCGAAGCGATAGTGAAAAATAAACATTTAATTTCGGACATATCAGTTTATTCGTAAATTAAGTTGTATTTTCATTCTAAGAAAAACCCGCTATATATAAATACATATAACTTTTTAAAAACAACTATTGAGATTTGGTAGATTTATTTCGGTACAACATTTCGTTTCTAACAGTGAAAAATAACGTACAACGTTTAAAGTATAGATATACATCCAATAAAATAATCTTATTAAATATTACTTTAACCTCATCTGGTTTGTTTATATTTAACTAATTTAATACAAATACAATGGGGCTTCTGATGTATTATTCTTCTTAGGTTTTAATGCTTTGATTCTGAATGCTTCATTTTTATTTTTATTTTTGAGGGAAGGTGTTATCAACATGCAACATTTTTCAATTTTTTTTTCAGTTATATATGCATTTACATTTGATTATTTTTTGTCACATTCCTTGCATATGGTTGTTACTTTCCTATATATACTTACAATGCTAGAAATCGGGTTTCGATACCTGTGGTGGGCAGAACATAGATAGCCCATTGTGTTGCTTTGTGCTTAACTTCAAAACAAACAAAACAGACTTTCATGATTCAAACTAAGAGAAGGTCATTTATAAGATACTATATAATCATACCAGGATCTTGTTCAAGATGTTGCTCATGATTTTTTACAAGATTCAATCAATCCTATAGAATCGGACGAAATATATATCTTCAATATGATTATATAATGCTGTAATACTATTAAAAGGAGTATATTTCTTACAAAATACATAATTCGTGGTCTTTAACATACATTGGAAGCCTACAAAGAGGGTTGTGAGGTTGAGAATGTTTCCTCGGGTCCCACTGCTGCCCACCATGAAGCCCACGAGAGACAAGAAATGTATACGGAATGTATCAAATCAATACAAAACGTATGAACAAACATTAACTGCTCTTCCAACCACTTATGTGTGTACGCGACACCATTCCAAAAACTATTTGGGGAGGGGGGGACATATACAAATTCTACCCTTGGGGCCTATTACAACTCTCGAAGGCCCTGGTGACCCTTGTCCCCATGTACGTAACCAATAACATGTTGTGTACGTAGGAAAATTAATGAATAAATAAACATAACAAGGTGCTGAATCTATTGCAGCCTTCAACGTGGAAAAAAAAAGAATATTTAAAATAACTGCTTTCAATTTTCCAACAACAAACGTTATTTGTTTTTAAGTCCAAAGCTATAAAACTGGCTTTCTGCACTCTATCCATTGTCGCCAATTTGCCAGGAAGATTGGCTCTTTTATAACTCTATAACACAGACACACACACACAGATAACCATACCAGGATCTTGTACAAGATGCTGCTCAGAAATCAGTAAATATCATAAGCTGCACAAAATTAAAAACTGACTAAACGGTTTGTATTCTCACGATCCATTACATTGTTCATTCAAAATTTTAAAAATGTTTCCGCATGTGAGTGTATGTAGGTTTAAAGTTAAATATTGGTCAAGGAAGAGGCTAAGTTCCTTTCACCCTAGTTACCTATTGTTCAGAATCATTCACCTATAGTTTCACGTGCACATCCTTATGAGAAATATTTCTATAAAGATGAACACACAATGTAAAAACGATCATTGATCCTTTCCACTGGTGGGTCAGTTGATACCTTGAGGTTAATCCTCTCTTACTTTTCGATAACAGTGGCCGACAGTGATGTTGGTAGCATACATATACTGAGAAGAATGGAATTGTAGAAGTGTATACAGAATCCTATATGTTTTCAGTCTGGAGCTGGTCTTTCTTATAGCTCTAAATATCCAATAAAGACGCCTTTTTTCTGTTATACAATTGTCGTTTTGATTATGCTTCGTATTTTCAAAAAATATTGTATTCATACTGTTCGCATTGTGTCTAGTGTCCTTCTTTCTTATAACTCAGTCAAAACCACCAAGAGAATTGAGATTTACTCATGCGAAAACATTTTCTGTCGAATCTCTTGTCCTATCCGATTACTCGAAAAAATCAGTGAACCCGAATATATATGGTGTTTTTACGAAAATTTTGTTTCCAGAAAGAACAATTTGGCTATGACTTACCTAAAAAACTAGAAAATAAATTTATTATTATGTCACTCCAAAGACCTAAACGTTGCTTATGTTTGGTAGTTTGAAGACACCGTTTTGCCTGTACTATGAACGAAACAAATTACTCATCTACAGTATATTTAAACAATCAGTTATTTATTCCAATAGTCTAAAGATGCTTGAAACCAACCTTGATGTTTTCAGCAAAAAAAAAAAAAAAAATTAGAGCAATTTTCATTTTTTTTGCCCTTGTTCTGACTAAAACATGGCCTTAACTATAGAGTATATAAAAATTAATATTTAATCCAAAATCGATATGAGATAAAGTACACTAAATTATATTCTAATGTCTTCACCTGTCAGTGACTGAATTTCTGCTTTGTAAGAATAAAAATAGCCCTTTCAATAAATATTTTTTAAACTTACTAGGTGACGCTACATAATTTCCTCGTCCAAGTATTGTTGGGTGGATTGTTTGTTTGTTGTTAAGCAAAAACCTACACCATGAACTATCTGTGCTGTGACCACCACGGATATCGAAACCGAATATTTAGCTTTACAAGCACTTATACTTACCGATGAATCATCAGGGACCCCGGGGCGAGGGTGATTATAAAGAAAAAATCACAGAACTAAAAATTACTATATTTTATAAATACTATAAGTTATTTGTCCTAGGAGGCTCATCGGTAACGCTGAAGGCTCATAATGCTAAAAATCGAGTTTCGTTAAACATGGAGGACAGAGCAGAGATAGTCCACCGAGTACTTTATGTTTTACAAAAAAAAACAAAAAACATTAAATTATACCAAAGGCACTTAGAGAATCATAAGTTGTTTTTACATAACTCTATTCAAGAAAGCCTTGAAATAAATGCTCTTAGTTGTTTATTAATATATATATATTTTTTTTTTCTCATCAACTCTTTTTAAATTATAATTAAGCATTCCAATCAAATATTAGTCATATTTTTGTTAAAAATTAATAGCTTTTTGAATAAATTATTTTAACACTGTTGTTGTATTAACGCAAAGCTACACAAGGGTCTATTAGCGCTCTGTCCATCCCGGGGAATCCAAGCTTAGATTTTAGTAATGTAAATCCTCAAACTTACCGCTGATCCACCAGGTGACATGACATACCATATAATAGGAAATCACTATTGTATTTAATTTTTATAATTTTACCAAGAAGAAAGCCTGTACTTTTCAGCTTAATCTGTAATGATAAATAAATGCAGTGTTAAGTGAAACTCATATTATTTCCTGTAAGAATTACATGAAGAAATTTTACTTGAGAGAGCTGCAAAATTTTTTGAATAAAAGTTCTTCCCTCAGTGATACAGGGAATCAAGGATAAAATATTTAACGTTTCTAATAATACGTGATCGTTATATGTGTAAGTTTGCGTGTTTAACGACGATAAAACTGTTTCATATATATACACTTGGACAACTCTAAGAAATAAAAAAGACCTTCTATAAAAATTATTGAATCAAGCTCATAATGAAACTGAGGCCATTGACAGGAATGCCTTCGGAATGACTTCCAACTATAAAACTACGTTGCACTTATCCTTTATATTAACTACTCGATGTCACACTATTCGGTGTTGAATCGGGTCCATACGCAGAATGTTTGAAAGGTGGGGCTCTAATTTGTGAGAACAAAAATCAAAACATTTTGTGCAAAGCACACTCCGTATGCAAAGCATGTTAATGCTACTGAGGTGGGTCTGGGAGGCATGTCCCACCAGAAAATTTGTAAAAAAAAAGGATGCTATGAGATTAATATCTGTAAGCAATTTTGCTTGAAATGTAGCTTAAACAATTGCATAGCTGTTCACATAAAATCCATAAACATCCCATGAAAAGTCAACAAACCATCAATCGTTGTAATACTGCATGGGGAGTTAGACTTAAATTAGCATAAATATGTATGTTTTATTATAGTAAACTACTGTACTATCTATATGCAGAGTAGCTATTAATTGTTAAATTATATTACTAATTCAAATAACTCTGTACAACAATAGTATATTAGCTATTTCAACCATTGGCTTTATATGCGTACATGTATGCACTACTGAAATAACATGTTAGTATGCTCCATTCTTCTGAGGTGCTTTTCTGTAAATAACTTATATATATATAGTTTTAATGTCGATAGCTGTGTCATAATTATTGTGTATTAAAGCAAGAGCACTCAATCTTACTGCGGTTTGTGTACACCTCAGGTAATTATTCAACCAGCAGAGAGCAGATGCCAAGTGTTCACATGAACATGAACTTAGTAGCGGTGTGGCAAAGAGTTTCAGTAACATAAAGATATTTTAATGGTTGGAGACGGCTTGAATGGGTAATGAAGAAAAACTTTAATATGAGTTTAACACAACAGCAAATGTACAACGTTTCGACAAGGTTTTTGTCATCATCAGGTACCTGTAAAAAAAAAGCCGTCTCCAACCATTATTAGTCTCAAAGTGGGTTCCTCGTCATCGAATAAATATATTTTGTTCACTGAAGCACGCTTTTGTGCGGATAGCTAGTATCTAGAGTATAGAATAAATTAATATCAACAAACTGCCTTGTTTAAAATAATCAGTTTATTTGACATTTAAATGATCAAAATTTATTATAATTGACAAAAATTTAAATAAAATTTTTTAATATTGATGTCAAAATTAATTATTTTTAATTTTGTTAGAATATTCTCTAATATTTTTTTCTTATAGTATTTGTAAATATTACAAATACATTTATATTCTTCTACGTATTTTTTTAATTTTTAACTTTAAGACCAAATAACTTTCGAAATTCTTTTCTCAAATTTCAAAATCTATTTTTACCGCCATCTGTATTTTTCGAGTTTCGATAATTTGTAGTGCCAGTGGTTAGCTATAGTCATAGTGTTAAAATGGCGGAAGCGCGAAGTCCAAAGTGCTTTGAAAAATTATTGGTACATAAAGCTCTTTACAAAGTAAAAACGCCTCCGTGGAAAGAAACTTTTAGAAAGGTATGTAACATACCACTCTATTGGACATTTTATATGTTTACACCAACTAACGAATGAAACTTGATCTTACAAAAGCTTAAACCTCTAAATATAGCTATAGACTAGTAATAGTATACACACACATATTTTTCATAACTGACGATGGGATGTGCTCTTGTTTTGATTTCAGCTCAGCTGTTGCTACTCGTACTACTACAATAACAATGTGGTTATACTTGTATATTATTGGTACTTAACTCACAGTTATATTAGTACCACTGCACTATCGTCACCAAGTTCTATAACTTTTATATTTAGTGAAAAAAGAACTAGCCAACTTCTGAGTGAGCTTGCTTACTTTTATTTTTAACTAGTCGTTTTGACTCTTTATTAACTGTGCTTTGGACCTTTTGCTGTAAAAACTCGTAATGTATAAAATCTCAAAGTCAAATAGTAAATGTGTAAAAAACACCAAAGCACATTAAAGAGGCCAGCATTCGTGGGCGAATGCAACATGTCTCCACCACACAATCCCAACATGACCAATTTTGACACCAGAAAGATTACCTGCAAAGAGTATCTTTGTAACAAATTCCATGTAAGTTGGTTGAAACAAGGCTAAGTAATTGACTTAAACCCCTAAAATTATGGATTTATTTCACTTTTGATCCCCCACTCTTAAATTACCAAAAATTGACATATTACATATTATTTATCTATATATGTATGGGGCCTGTAAAAAAGTATTCTTGTACCAATCACATGTAAATTGGCCAAAATACAGTGAGTTAATTGTCAAAAATCCTAAAATTATGCTACTTGTGACATCTTGACCCCTTCCCCTGTAATTTCTAGAAATGCTAAAGTCCACTATTTTTGTTTGTTAATTGTAAAAGTATTTTTGTACCAAATCCCATGTAAATTGATCAAAATATGGCCAAGTAAATGTCCAAAAACCCAAAAATATTATTTTTTGTGGGCTCTGACCCCCCCTCCCCCGAGAAAAAAAAACAACTGAAATGGGCAAATCCAACTTTTTTGAATGTCAGTGTGTTTAGTGCAAGAAATTTATATTTTTAGCCAACTTTCATTGTGATTCCTATAAATATAACCACACAGGAGCCCAAAATTTACATTTTTTACTTGTTTGACCTTTGACCCCATAAAATCCTTTAAAAAGCCTAAATAAACAAAAAGGAAAAAATGTGTCTCTGCATTTTGGACCAAGTTATAACCCTACCAAGTTACAAGTCAATCTGCCATGAAATGAAGGAATGGCAGTCAGTTGAAAAGTGTTTGGAAAAAGAAACAATGGTAAAACAGTATATCTTTCTGTAGAGATATAATCACACATAATTGTGAATGGTGGCTGTACAGTCTATTTCAATTCAAAAAGATGTTATGTCATTTTTAGCATTTGAAACAATCCTAGATTAAATCTTTCACCAGTGAAACTTGAATAAACTGAAGAGCACAAACAAGGCATATAATATTCCTTATATCTTCATAATTTCTTTGACTATTTTGATAAAACAATCTTTAAAGACTGATTTCTCTGATTCATAATTAGCTGATATTTTTCGTCATAAAGTTTTTTCAGTGATATGGCATTCATGTTTTTTTTTTTCTTCTTTACAACCAAAAGTGGTATAGGTTTATAAATTTCAATTCTGTGCAGCTACCATAGACAGTTGAAACATGCCTTGTACAATGATTGCAATTAAATATTCAAAGAATTGTATTGTGTTACCTTATACTGGAATATAAGACTATCACTATTTGAAAATAAGCACTGTCAAAAATGGAACTGTTTGAATAGAGTAAGAGAAATTAATTAGTACAGCTGGTTCAAGGACAGTGTATATATGTACGAATGGTCACAATATAGTGGACAGAAAACATGAGTAACCAATCACAGTAATCTGGTAGCTGGTGTTAACCATATTTTTGTTTACATTTTATGCCCTAAATTATTAACATTTTTACTGTTAGGACTAAAATGTATGTTTTTATCTGTTTCAGTAAATCATGGGTGGGTAATAATTAATTATTTGATCCATCCGTCTAATCACCCTTAAATAAAAAGACCCCCAAAGAATACTATGTTTGACTTCAGATATGCAACAAAATCAAAGTATACATAACCACTTTATTTCATTTTAGAATATTATGTATGAGAACATTTGTCCATCACATGAATATGAAAATTAAAAATAGATAAAGCACCAGGACCAGATAAGGTTTTCCCCAGAGTTTTAAAGAAGTCCAAAGATCAGATATGCAAGTTTTTCATTTTTGGTAGGTTAGTAGACATGGGGCAAATGACTTAGGATTAAAAGAGTTGCTAGTGTTACTTCTGCTTTTAAAGGGAAGTGATAGTAGCCATGGAAATTTTAGGCCAGTTAGTCTTACATCTCTAGTAGACACTTAGATTTTTCAAGAGATTAGCTAAGAAGATCACATTGGTAGGGGTTGGGGAAAGACTATTTAATTGGATTGTAGTGTGATTAGATGGCAGAAAGAAATGGTTATTATTAATAGAATCCAATCAAACTGAAACCATGTTACTAGTGCAGTGCATCAGGGGTCAGTGCTTGAGCTTTTGCATTTTATTTAATTAATGACATTTATAGGGGCATAAGTAGTAAATTTTGTGGGTGGCGTTAAACTCTTGTGTATTTCTAGCTGTGTTGAGAATCTACAGAATGACTGAGATTTGGGTTACCATAATAATTTGGATCACATTTTTCATATAACTGAAAACCCACTCATTAGTGGATCTAACCTTGTAATTTGAATGATTCACTAAATCCTTCCAGTTATGTAGAATGGCCACCTGTGACCACACCCCACAAATTATTTTCAAGCAAATCTAAGTATCCTACTAACAGTAAATGCATTAAAAACAAAAGTTTTGTGTTCCCATTTAAAAACAAAAAATCCCATTCAGTATACACTTGAGTACAATGTAGCTTAGGCTTAGACCAAATCAAAACCTTGACCCACCCTCTAATCAAGAATCAGAAATCTATACTAAATGGTGGTTTTTTTTTTGTCAGAAGCCTTTTTCTGCCATTCATAAAAATATTTCTGGGTTGAAATTTATGATTAGCGGGTAGGTCAAAGTTTTGATTTGATCTAGGCCCTAGTTCGAGCAATTATTAATCATACAACACAATTTTGTTCTAGTTTAATCATCTAATAAACTGACCACATTTTTTTAACTAGCTTTATAGTTTTATTTCAGGTTGATATGACTTAATAGATGAATTATTTTAAAAGAGGTAAAGAAATTTAATATGTTTTTCTTTCCTGAACCTAATTCAAGTATTCCACATTTTTCCCAACATCAATAATATCACTTACCTCTAAAAAAATTATCCTTCCTTTCCTTTATTAACAAAGGTCTCTACAAAAGACATTAAAGCCTTCATAATCTCTATTTAATCAATATTGAGTATTACCATTGACATTTAGCATGCTAGTACCATCAAAACTTCTAATTCCAGTATCTTATAGCAAATATTCTAATATAGTTTTATCCATTAATTGTTACATTTTATATGTTATAAAAACTGATACAAATTCCATTAAATCAGAACAAATATTTAAAAAATGTGTAACTCTCTTTTAAGCTTCACAACATACACAGAGATGCAGGAAACAGTCAGTCTTTAACGGCTACAAAAAAATAATTTTTTCCATTTTATACTCAAAACTCAAGAAAGTTTTATTGAGAATCTTCTCTTCATAAAGAATACTAAAATATTTTTGTTGATTTACTAAAGGTTCTACAAGTCTAATCCAATGGTTTAATGACTGTGAGGTATTACTTAATTGTCTAATAAATTACACAAATTTCATCATTGAACAAATTCAAGTGAACTGTGTGAAATACCATTTCATTGTTCGTATAAGAATATAAATTTTAAACTTATTACTTTGAGGATTGATTAGAATACAGTGTGAAACTTGTATTAGTTGTAGCAAAGAAAATAAGTTAATAATTGAATGTACCATCTCAGGATAAGGTGAAATATACATTTTTGAATTATAGATGTAATAAGTTTTATTATTTCTTTTTTATTTTACTAAAAGTTAATATACTTCTGAATTCTTTAACTTTTAAAAATGATGTTGTATAGAAGGTTCTGTTTGACAAAAAAAATAAAATAAAATTATTTATCTTAAATTAAATCACTCTTCATTTAACATATTTGGAAGTGACAAATACAATTCATGCAATTTTCAAAAATTAAAACTAACCCAAAGTTGGTACGTACAAAGTATTTGGAATGTACTTCTTCAAAAGAACACTATGAACAATATGTCATACTGTTTAAGATATATCTAGCATTTAGTCTTCTCGATAAGTTTCGAGCTAATTCAAAACTTCTGGCTTACCATCAAATTTTTTTTTCCCCTCAACTTGAAAATCTGATCAATGAATATTTTATGCCATATATAGCGTTGCTTGGAAGGTCTAAAAACCAGGCGCCAGAAATTGCATGATCGGTTTCGTCAAGTGCCACAAAATGATGATTTAAAGAACAGTTCCTTCATCATCAGCCATGAGAACTTTGGAAAGCTGGTGGAAGAGGTTATGGAAGAAGAATGGAATGCTACACTAGGAAGTCAAAAAATATTTCCATCCTTGCTGTCCAAAGGTTTGGATATTAAGGTAAACTTATTATGAAATTGATAAATAAAACTCAAGACTTTAAAACCAGAATAGAACCTGTTTTGTTTATGTGCAAGGTAGATTACAAACAGATACGTCTGAGTTCATATACATCATTATATTAGAAAAAAATGTTTGTTTTTAGTAAGATAAAAATTATTAGTTAAGATGATTTGTGCTAAACTGTGATTCGTCACAAATTCTCACACATATATGTGTATGTGTAAATATACAATTTCTTTATTTTTCTGTTGAAAAAGGCTGTATAAATATCTATACATTCCCTTTTAAGGAAAACTTTCTCCATAGAAAAATAAAGAAGTTGCAGCAAAAGGATAACAATTAACACCAGAGTATAAGCTACATTGTGGAAAAATATAAAACCAGGATACTTTTTATATTTCCCCACCATGTAACTTGTGCCCCGGTGTTATTTGTTATTCTTTTGCTGCCGTTTATTTCTTTCTTTATATGGAGAAAGGTTTTTTGTTCCTAAAAGATTAATTATCTGGCTCATTCATTGATTACGTTCAAGTAATTGATTATTTTTGAGTCGTGACACTAATCAGTTAAGCTGAACAACCTTGAGTTAATCTAAAATAATAACAAGAAATTGTAATTTCAATATTTCAATTACTTGGATAATTGGAGTAATTTAAACAATAATAATCAGAAACATTAATGTTGATTATATTTGTTACATTAATCAAGTAATCAATTATTTTGTGTGACACTAATTGATGTTTCTCACATGACACTCTTCTTAAGAACCCAGTGTTGAGAAGCTTTTATGATGCCTCAGAAAATGGGTTGGAGAGTAACTAATAAAGTTGTTTAGAATTTTTCTGCCCATTTCAAAGTACACATTTATATTTACCCAGATCCCTGTATCCATTAGAGATAAGACTCATCCAGTGTTTTGTTTCTCACATGACACTCCTCTCAATGACTGCTTTCAAGAACCCAGTGTTGAGAAGCTTTTATGATGTCACAGCAAATGGGTTAGAGAATCTATATAAATATAATATTACTGTCTGTTGTCTGTCCATGTAACTACTTTTCAGGGTGTGGATGGATCTTCACCAAAATTGGTGTGGAGGTTCATTAGGTCCATGCAGGGGTACAAACACATTTTCAGTTTTGTGGTTTTGATGGGCATTTTCACATTTTTTACCATTACTTCACCCCCTGTTGATGGATCTTCACCAAATTTGGCATGAAAGTTTGTTGGGTCCATGCGGAGATACAGGAAAACTTGCGGTTTCACATTTTGTGTTTTGCAGTTTTTACAATTGCATATAAGGGAAGCAACTTTTCATATCCTAAGATAACATTTCATTAATCATGAATTTACATAATTACCATCCAGGGATGGGCACTCCAGCTAATAACTAATAAATCTTAACCTCCAAACAAGATAGAATCAATGGCTAATCATTAGTGAATAGAAAAGATTCTTTTCTATCTCTATCATTATAAAGTGAATGACACTTGGGTAAGCTGTAATGTATGATTTCTGAAAAAAAATGGCTTGTGAAAGTTCTGATAGCGGAGAACAGTCATTCTTCTTAAAGTTTACAAAACTTAGAAACAAGCCACAAACCTAGGATTTTATTTAAAGTTTCTCTTGACAATTTTTTCATTTTTAATGATTTCTTTGTGTTATGTCTGTTTTAAAACTTCAGGAAGTGAGACATAAGGGAAGGATGTTTGAGGTCAGTGAGTATGGTAAGCTAGTTCTGAGAAGGGCAAATATTCAGATGATACAATAGATTTTTTTATTTGTGTTTATTAGTTAGATTTATAACTCCAACAACACAATACAGGACAGTAGCTAGTTATTGAAAACAAACTGTAATTATTAGGTAGAAATTTTAGCTTCACCAAAAATATAGTTGGAAAAATATTGCCTATATAAATGTAGGCCTAGGATACAAATGCAAGTTGTATTTCTATATGTCAAAGCTTTTACTGTTCGTTGGTGTTTTATGCTATTTTCTTGGCTATATAACTGCTCCAATAGGTAAAGATAAGTAAATATGAATAATTGCATAAAATAAAACACATTAGACCTAACTGGATATATAAAATGAAACTTTCTAATCAATTATTTAGAAAAAAAGTTTTCTTTTATAATTTTTAATAGTTTTCTTTTTATTTAAGATTATATATGAACAGGCAAGAAAACGAGTATGCCATTATAAAAACAACACGTATGGGTATGTGTACTTGAGTTTAGACTCACAAAACAAAAGGAAGTATATTTAATGCCGTTTTGAATACATTGTTTCAAAACTAAATTGCTAAATATTCACAACATAATATTTGATACAAATACTAAACCAAATTATATTGTTTTGTTTTTTCAAGCATAAACTAGATTTGTACAAAGTGTGTACCGAATTTCTTGCAATTAGGTTTAGCATTTTAAGTTTAGAAGGAAACAAACAGGGTTGACATTACCAGCCTGAATGGGGTCATGTAACTTTTAATGGCAGTTAACTATCACCTTATTTTAAGTACATTTGAGCCATTGTTCTGTCTCATAGCTTACAATTAGGTTTAGCATTTTAAGTTTAGAAGGAAACATAATTGTAAGCTATGAGACAGAACAATGGCTCAAATTTACTCAAAATAAGGTGATAGTTAACTGCCATTAAAAGTTACATGACACCATTCAGGCTGGTAATGTCAACCCTGTCGAGTTATTTAATTGTCACTAAGTTCGTGTAAAATTGTGAATGAAATATTTCAAATCTTATCTAAATGTTTTTTAATTTATCAAAAACTAATATTTTATAAATATATTTAGGTATTTGTGATAACTAGCAATTGCATTATTGTAACTGTCATGTCTTATAAAATTAGAATGACATTAAGTCATATCTATTACACATTTGCTTAGTTGAATAAATAGTTAAGCTTGTTTTAATCACTGCTGTGGTTCTTTCCTTATTTCAGTCTCCATCTGGTATAAGAAACATTTTAAAAATAATATACAAGATGACAAAAAACCTATAACCCAAGGGGCAAACTGAAAAAGAAAGGTCCACGTTTTGAAAGCTCACGGGTTATAGGGTTTTTTATTGTCTTGTTTCAAGGCTTCTTGAAGCTATGTGTTTTTCTGACATCATGAAAAAATAATATTCAGATACATACATACAGCATTTTAAATACTTTTAATGTTGCTAGTAACACTTGTATTATTATTATTAGTTCTCCCAAAACACATTTCTTTATTCTTTTTTAAAGATAAAAAGGATCTGTTTTTCTCATTGTATAATTCAATAATTTTTTTTACTCCTAAATAATTTTTTAGATTTTAGAAGAGAAT